ACACACTGGTCCCACCTGGATGTCCATTCTCTCCAAAATTTGACAGAACCAGAAAGGTCAACCATGTAGACACCCAGACAAATTTTGGAGAGAATGGACACCCAGGTGCGACCCGTGTGCGGTGCTGAGGACTCTGGGATCTATATTGATTGGCATGGGTGTCTACATGGTTGACCTCTCTAGTTCTCAGTCAAATTTTAGAGAGCATGGACACCCAGGTGGCATCCGTGTGCGGTGCTGGGGACTCGGGATCTATATTGATTGGCCTGGGTGTCTACATGGTTGACCTCTGGTTATGGAGCACATTTTGAAGAGAATGGACACCCAGGTGGGACCCATGTGCGGCGCTGGGGACTCCGGGATTTATATTGATTAGCACTGATTGGCATGGTTGTCTACATGGTTGACCTTTCTGGTTCTCGGTCAAATTTTGGAGAGAATGCACACCCCGGTGGGACCCACGTGCGGCGCTGGGGACTCCGGGATCTATATTGATTGGCATGGATGTCTACATGGTTGACCTTTCTGGTTCTCTGTCAAATTTTGGAGAGAATGGACACCCAGGTGGGACCCGTGTGCGGCGCTGGGGACTCCGGGATCTATATTATTGATTAGCACTGATCGAGAACCAGAAAGGTCAACCATGTAGACACCCAGGCAATCAGTGCTAATCAATAATATAGATCCCGGAGTCCCCAGCACCGCACACAGGTCCCACCTGGATGTCCATTCTCTCCAAAATTTGACAGAACCAGAAAGGTCAACCATGTAGAAACCCAGGCAAATTTTGGAGACAATGAACACCCTGGTGGGACCCATGTGTGGCGCTGGGGACTCCGGGATCTATATTGATTGGCATGGGTGTCTACATGGTTGACCTCTCTGGTTATCGGTCAAATTTGTGGAGAGAATGGACACCCCGGTGGGACCCACGTGTGGCGCTGGGGACTCCAGGATCTATATTGATTGGCCTGGGTGTCTACATAGTTGACCTCTGGTTATCGGTCACATTTTGAAGAGAATGGACACCCCGGTGGGACCCACATGTGGTGCTGGGGACTACAGGATCTATATTGATTAGCACTGATTGGCCTGGGTGTCTACATAGTTGACCTCTCTGGTTATCGGTCACATTTTGGAGAGAGTGGACACCCAGGTGGGACCTGGCTAGGGGGACTTTTTTTTTTTTAATGGAGAATCGAGTTCATAAGTTAGGGAAACAAGGAGGGGGTTGTAAATGTCGTAATGGGGAAGGGCCCCGGCCTCCATAAATGAGATCACCTTGTTGGCTTTGGGATTAGGTCAGTTAGTTTTAGAGCGTGAATCATAGACTGACCAAAGTCCATAACTGCTTTTGAGAGGCATTTCATATTGTTAGAGAACTTAACTCCCTACCATCCCCCCTACCCACACCGCAGGTTCAGGAGGCCATAGGATACTCTCTGGGGCATGCATCATACCATCAAGGAGGTTGGCCATCTACTTGTTTGCAGCTGATTACGTTGACACATTCACACCATCACAAGGCAACTTCCTGACCCCCCCCCAGAGATGGCCAACCCCTACTAAAAGTCCCATGTGATGCATGTGCATCACCACAAGGCCACTGTCGGGCCCCTCAGACAGCCAACCCCTCTGGTGCCCTCAGAATAAGATGGCCACATGGGGCTGGGGTGCTGCAGGGAAGAGCTGATTCATAAAGGATGTTGGTGGGTCACCAGGTTTGCAAGTATGCTTTAGGGCAGGGGTGGACAACCTGCGGCCTTCCAACTGCTACAGAACGAAAAGTTCCACATGACTCGTGCACATCACCACAAGGCCACTGTCCGACCCCTCAGACGGCCGACCCCTCTGGTGCCCTCAGAATCAGATGGCCACATGGGGCTGGGAGTGCTGCAGGGAAGAGCTGGATCCATAAGGAATGTCGCTGGGTCACCAGACTTGCAAGTATGCTTTAGGGCAGGGGTGGACAACCTGCAGCCATCCAGCTGTTGAGGAACTACATGTCCTATGAGGTACCACAAGATTAGCTGTTACAACCATGAATCCCAGAGGGATGATGGGACTTGTAGTTCTGTAGCAGCTGTAAGGCCACAGGTTGACCACCTCTGCCATAAAGCCATACTCGCAAGCCTAGTGACCCAGCAACATTCCTTACGGATCTGCCTCTTCCCTACAGCACTCCTGGCCCCATGCGGACATCTTATTCTGGGGTCACCAGTTGGGTTGGCTCTCTGCCCGTTGGGCAGTGGCATTGTTGTGATGCGCATGCGCCAACATGAGCGAGGTAGCTGCAAAAATGAGGAGTAGGCGGCCAGCCCTCCTTGATGGCGCAAAGCATGGCTCATGGAGTACCTTATGGCCTCCTGAACCCATGGAATGGGCATCAAAGGAGGCTACAGGCACAGTAATGTCATCCTGGTCCAAGCCATTAATAAGGAAGTGCAGGGAGGCCGGCCCCCCCCCAAAACGTCTTTTCGACCCAACCCCTGCCCCCCAAAAGAAAATTATGAGGGCAGCAGGAGGAAGATTAGTAGATTAAAGTAGACCTAATCCCTATTAAGGCCTGGTGCACACGTCGGGGGTTCGAGCTGCCCATTCCCTTCAATGGGCTGCCCCCACTGAGGATCGTGGGGATAGATATACGTTTTTTTAAAATCTGCCCTGAACCCCATGGTGTTGCGCCACCACGTGGTTCGGCATGCGCGAAAGTGCGTTGCGGTTGCCTGTGCATGGAGGAGTCAAAGTGCAGCACGTTTTTCCGCATGTTGGGGGAGCACGAGTTCCCTACAGATGTGAACCTAGTCCAAGTTCTGCACGCAGGTTTAACGTGCCATTGTTCCCTGGTGATCCTGCCATGAAGGTCCCTCAGGGACTTCCTGTGATAGGCTGACAACACTCCAGTCCTGTCTCCCAGTTGTGCTCCTGTGTTGTCACCGGTCACATGGGTGGTGGAGGCTACAAGTGGCCGGTTCAACAGACCTTGCACGGGCATGGTCCCATCAAGGAAACCCAAATGTTCCAAAGACACCGGAGGAGCTTCCGGCAAGGCAGTGACAGGAAGTTCAGGAGTTGTGTTGCTTGGGTGCAGGTTCTAGCTTTGCTTTTTTTTTTTTTTTCTTCTTTTGGAAAATCCAGTCACATTGTGTATACACACATTAAACTGTGTTGTGTCATTGGCATTCTGAAGCGTCAGTCCACCCATAACTCACATTTCAGGTTCGGCTTGTTGAATCAGCTTCTCGCATCTTGGAGACGGCGGGTGGTGAGGCCCTTGCTCCAGAGTTCCGGCTCCTTCCTTTTCTGTTCCATGGAGGTCTCTCTCTCACTTAGTCGAGCAGCCTAGGAGTTTGAATTCATAGTTTCTCCGTATTGTAAACCAGGGGTCTCCATACTGCAGCCTGGGGGCCAAATGCGGCCCTTTGCTTGCCTTTTATCTGGCCCCTGGGGCTCTCTTCCTCCTCATGAGACCCTATTCTGCCAACTGATATCGACAGTTGAGCGCGACTTCTCCCAATGATACAACGGGGCACGGTTCCTGCCCCCTAAAACCAACTGTGGTGACCTCTAATCTCCTTGAAGCCAGGAAAACTTTCGTTCCGTCTGGCCCCCTAAAATCTAAAGGCCCTTTTTTGTTTAGAACACGGGTGTCAAACTGGTGGCCCTCCAGCTGTTGCCCAACTGCAAGTCCCATGAGGCATTGCAAGGTTGACGAGCACGACTCCCAAAGGCATGATGGGACAGGAAAGGGAGAAACCCTCCCGTGTAGTGGGGCTGCCCCTGCGTTGCGAGGGTTAAACGGTCAATTACATCTAGATCAGGGGTGTCAAACTGGTGGCCCTCCAGCTGTTGCCCAACTGCAAGTCCCATGAGGCATTGCAAGGTTGACGAGCACGACTCCCAAAGGCATGATGGGACAGGAAAGGGAGAAACCCTCCCGTGTAGTGGGGCTGCCCCTGCGTTGCGAGGGTTAAATGGTCAATTACATCTAGATCAGGGGTGTCAAACTGGTGGCCCTCAATCTGTTGCCCAGCTGCAAGTCCCATGAGGCATTGCAAGGTTGACTAGCACGACTCCCAAAGGCATGATGGGACAGGAAAGGGAGAAATCCTCCCGTGTAGTGGGGCTGCCCCTGCGTTGCGAGGGTTAAATGGTCAATTACATCTAGATCAGGGGTGTCAAACTGGTGGCCCTCCAGCTGTTGCCCAACTGCAAGTCCCATGAGGCATTGCAAGGTTGACAGTTACAAGCATGACTCCCAAAGGCATGATGGGACAGGAAAGGGAGAAATCCTCCGGTCTAGTGGGGCTGCCCCTGCATGGCAAGGGTTACATGGTCAATTACATCTAGAGTAGGGGTGTCAAAAACTGGTGGCCCTCCAAGTGTTGAGAAACTACAAGTACCATCATGCCTCTGCCTTTGGGAGTCATGCTTGTAACTGTCAATCTTGCAATGCCTCATGGGACTTGTAGTTGGGCAAGAATTGGAGGGCCGCCAGCTTCACACCCGTGTTCTAAACAAAAAAGGGCCTTTTTAGACTTTAGGGGACCAGATGGAACGGAAGTTTTCCTGGCATCATGGTAGTTTCACAACAGCTGGAGGGCCGCCAGTTTGACACCCCTGGTTTAGAAAGTTTGGAGACCCCTGTTTTAAACAATTACCTGTTGACCCAGCCAGTTTCTTCATAGCCTCCAATTTTCCTGTTTGAGTGTGACCACGCGAAACCATGGATTCCCATTGTGGTGGTTGTGTTGTCGTCCTGGCATGTGCTTTTTTCCTATGCTAGAACCCGCAGGCAGCCACGATGCACCAGATTGTTCCATTGTTGTCACCCCAGTCCTACGGTCTTTGCCCCTTTCAATAAGTGGACGAGGAGGCCAGGTTGATGAGGAAGCCTGGAAATTGAGGCTCAAGTCGGCAGTGGTTTCACAAGAGGTGACGATCTACTGCCTGCCCACAGCCCCAGCTTTGCGTAGACCTAGAGCCGAACAATAGACGTGACCAGGGGCAGACTGACCATTTGGAAACTCGGGCACTGCCCGAGGGCCCGGGTTCAGTAGGGGGCCCCATGAGATGCCCCTGGTACCTTTTTTTTTCATAGGTTTTTTTGAGTTTGGGCAAGGACACAGGCCCCATGATCCCCTATTGCCCGGGGGCCGCATGAGTTGTCAGTCCGCCCCTGGACCGATAAATGCAATAAAACATACGTTGGGCTGTTTTTGAATGATCAGAAGACTCCTTGTTCTTCGTATTTGCATGCACCATTGCTTGTAGTCAACCAGATTTACAGATTTACGAGCCTGCAGAGCATGTAGTAGGAGGTCTTTAAACTGGAACATTAGGAGACCGGTCTGGAAAAGCCAAACTTTAGCGCTCTGGCCAACACAGGTGAGGACTGGTGAGTGACGAGGGTCCTATGGTGGCCCCACCATCCCAAGCCCTCCCAAGGATCAAAGAGCCGGAATGTGTTTTTGTTTGGGAGTAAAGAAGGGAATGTTGACCCTGATGGGCCGCACATTGGTTGTTAATGAGCTTAAACAGAGCAGATTTGTTTCCAACAGAAGTGATAGCATGGTCAGGAGGCACGTGGACCTCAATCTGGGGTCTTCTGTGGCCGGGTGCTTGGAGATGGTCCTTTTTTTCATGTTTTTATTCTGCGCTAAGATTTCGACGTCTACCTGGAATATCTCCGAGGCCTAAACTGAGGCCAAGATTTGTTTTTCCTCCTCCAAGCGGTGGGATGGTTGAGTCCAGAAGGCCTGCTTGTGTTGAAGATGACAGAAGTGTGTACATTTGGAAGCTGGCCTGGAAATCCATCCCTGCTGTTTACCACCGAGTAAATGAAGTTACTTTTCAGAATTGAAGGAAATGAATAGCGCACTGTATGCCGGGCTGTTTATGCAGCAGGTTCTAAGCTTGTGGAAATCTTAACACGTTTTTTTTTTTCGAAGCCAAACGATGGAATGCTGCAGAAAGGGACCTTTTTTTTTTTTTTTTTCCTTAATTAAAGTGAACCTGTCAGCCACTTATGCTTTTTAAAGTCCAGGTCGGACAAAGTGCCTGCTGTTATGTGCCTCTCGGATCTTGGGTTCGCTATGTTGCTGGAGACCTTTCCCTGACTACTTGGGCTACACGCCATCTGCACCATGTCCTAAAGGGAAGTCATTGATGGTTGATTGCTTACATGGGACTAGAACATGGTAGGTGGCCAGAAATCAAGGTCGGGCTCCTAGAAATAAAGTGAAACCGGGATCAGAGTCTCCTCTTCTGGATAGTTAAAGCCATAGCAGGCATCTTGTGTGCTACTTCTAGATTTCATTGCTTTTAAAATAGATGTCAGGCTTGCTTTAAAGTGGAAGGTTTTTTTTTTAACATTTTAAAATATTTTAGGTCAACTCTTAAAGGTCAAATCCACTTGAAACAAGATGTTAAAAAAAAAAAAAAAAAAAAAAGCAGCTTCTCTGACTTCAAATTTTGTCTGTTTCCCATCACCGTTCTTTATCTGGAATGCAGTATGACTTTGCTACTGCTTTTCCCACTTATTTTAGCTTTGTAAAGTGTAGTGGGTGGGGCATGACCCACTCATAATCGGTTTGGCAGAAGTAATCGAAAAACGCGATGGAGAGATGTCTCCTGAGTTTTCAAGACAACCTGCAGTAGAGGATGACCAGTTTATTGTGGAGGAACTGGAGTGTCCTGCACAAGGCCTTGACCTAAACCCTACTTTTGGAAGACCTTTTGGCATTGGGTCCTCTCACCTAACATTGATACATGTTCTCAACCCTAATAAACTATTTTTGGATTGGATCTTCTCATCCCAAAGGTGTTCAAAGTTCCTTCATGACTTCAAACCTACTGAACACCTTTGGGATGAGAAGATCCAATCCAAAAATAGTTTATTAGGACTGAGAGCAGGTATCAATGTTAGGAGGACCTGATGCCAAAGGTCTTCCAAAAGTAGGCTTTAGGTCAGGGCCTTGTGCAGGACACCAAAGTTCCTTTATGACTTCAAACCTACTTAACACCTTTTGGGATGAGAAGATCCATGTTAATTAGGGTTATTAGGGTTGAGAACATGTATCAATGTTAGATGAGAGGACCCAATGCCAAAGGTCTTCCAAAGGTAGGCTTTAGGTCAGGGCCTTGTGCAGGACACCAAAGTTCCTTCATGACTTCAAACCTACTGGTGTCCTGCACAAGGCCCTGACCTAAAGACTACTTTTGGAAGACCTTTGGCATCAGGTCCTCTCATCTAACATTGATACCTGCTCTCAGCCCTAATAAACTATTTTTGGATTGGATCTTCTCATCCCAAAGGTGTTCAGTAGGTTTGAAGTCATGAAGGAACTTTGGTGTCCTGCACAAGGCCCTGACCTAAACACTACTTTTGGAAGACCTTTTGGCATCGGGTCCTCTCATCTAACATTGATACCTGCTCTCAGCCCCAATAAACTATTTTTGGATTGGATCTTCTCATCCCAAAGGTGTTCAAAGTTCCTTCATGACTTCAAACCTACTGAACACCTTTTGGGATGAGAAGATCCAATCCAGAAATAGTTTTAGGGCTGAGAGCAGGTATCAATGTTAGATGAGAGGACCCAATGCCAAAAGGTCTTCCAAAAGTAGGGTTTAGGTCAGGGCCTTGTGCAGGACACCAAAGTTCCTTTATGACTTCAAACCTACTTAACACCTTTTGGGATGAGAAGATCCATGTTAATTAGGGTTATTAGGGTTGAGAACATGTATCAATGTTAGATGAGAGGACCCAATGCCAAAGGTCTTCCAAAGGTAGGCTTTAGGTCAGGGCCTTGTGCAGGACACCAAAGTTCCTTCATGACTTCAAACCTACTGGTGTCCTGCACAAGGCCCTGACCTAAAGACTACTTTTGGAAGACCTTTGGCATCAGGTCCTCTCATCTAACATTGATACCTGCTCTCAGCCCTAATAAACTATTTTTGGATTGGATCTTCTCATCCCAAAGGTGTTCAGTAGGTTTGAAGTCATGAAGGAACTTTGGTGTCCTGCACAAGGCCCTGACCTAAACACTACTTTTGGAAGACCTTTTGGCATCGGGTCCTCTCATCTAACATTGATACCTGCTCTCAGCCCCAATAAACTATTTTTGGATTGGATCTTCTCATCCCAAAGGTGTTCAAAGTTCCTTCATGACTTCAAACCTACTGAACACCTTTTGGGATGAGAAGATCCAATCCAGAAATAGTTTTAGGGCTGAGAGCAGGTATCAATGTTAGATGAGAGGACCCAATGCCAAAAGGTCTTCCAAAAGTAGGGTTTAGGTCAGGGCCTTGTGCAGGACACCAAAGTTCCTTCATGACTTCAAACCTACTGAACCTTTGGGATGAGAAGTCATGAAGGAACTCGGATGTCCTGCACAGAGCCCTGACCTCAACCCTACCAAACCCTTTTGTGATTAAGCGGAATGCCAATTTTGAGCCAGGTCTTCTCATCCAGCTTCAGTACCTGACCTTACAGATGGGTCAAATTCCCACAGACACCCTCCAAAATCTTTTGGACAGCCTTACCATAAGAGTGGAGGCTTTTATAGCCACAAAGGTGACAACTTTGTATTAATGGCCTTTGGGAGCAACTCCATATTGGTGGCCATGGTTTTGTAAATGGATGTCCAACAAGCTCATATAGGTGTGATGGTTAGAGACACTTGAGTGTCCTGCACGGAGCCCTGACCTCATATCTACTGAACTCCATTGGGATGAATGGGAACGCCAGTTGTGAGCCAGGTCTTCTCATCCAACATAAGTACCTGACTTTTTGCACTTGTTGGACAGCCATCCATTCCAAAAACCATGGCCAATGGTATAGAGCTGTCTCCCATTTGCAGCCTTAACCTGTCCTAGGCAAAGCCTTCCCAGACAAGTACTGGATGGACTTTTCTTTTTTCACCCAGACTAACTAAGTATTGATCCGGAACAGGTTAGAGTGAAGTGGGCCAAAGGAACCAAAAAGCCTTCATCCAGTGTCAGTTGGCTGAAAGGGGCACAAAATCCTACAGATGCCCTTCAGAAGCCTTCCCAGAAGAGTGTAGGCTGTTCCTATCCACAAGGGAAGGAGGAGCAGCTCCATATTAATGGCCATGGGATGTGGTGTCCACTAAAATCATACACAGTAGGTGACGTTCTGGTGTTCACAAGCTATTGGATGTTTTATTGCATCCACCAGGCCTTCTTTTATTCACGGTCTGCATATAGCGAATCCTTCATTTTCACACACCCACTTGCTCGCTGCTACCATATTGTTTGTCTGTCTACACGTACGGCACAAGGTCATTCTATCCAAAGTGCATGGAATCTCCAGCCTTCTCAAAATATGACCCTTGGTCTGTTATTGAACGTTGTGTTTATCGTATTTTACAACAGATGGTGGTATGTTTAGAGCGGCTAATGATCATAAATGATTGTCCATGTTTCCAAGCATTGTTCGAGGCCGCAGGAATGTACATTTAGAGGTGAGGACGAAGAAATGGCAAATTGAGACGTACAGCTGCAATCCATCTCTTCGTCGCCCCGGCCATTAGACGGGTACACTGTACACATTGGGGGATGAATGACAGCTGGTCCTCCTCAAGTGTCCACGAAGCCTGACTGGGCTGAGACTACCTTTTTTATTGCATTGAAGAAGGTGATGGATAGGTAGACAGTTGCTTTGAGTTTTTTATGGATGGTCTTCCCATCTCAGTTGGAGGTTTTGAAGTTTCAGGCTTTTGAACTATTCACGTACAGAACCGGCATCAATCATGCTTGTGTACATTTCATCCCTTTCGGCACATTCAGGGTTAGTTTTTTTTTTTTTTTTTCGGACGTTGATCTGTGAATTTGCTCAATGCATGGTCCACCCACTTACGGAGACCACATGAAAGGCTTCTGCAAGATAAAAGGCGACGCTATACATTCACTATGACTAGGCCGGCATTTTCATGCAAATTATTCTAAATATGTGGTTGGGAAAGGACTGCGTTTGTTGCAGAGCTTTCCCTTTTTTTGGTCTTTTTACACCCTTCTTCCTCAGTGACTGGCTTGAAAATGGGTGAAGATGAGCGCCCATCCGTAATATCTCCTCTTCCCATGTTTTTGATGTCCTGGGTTTGTGAACTGCTCCAAAGAACGGAGTTTATTTGCCCGTTCATGCACAGTCCAAATTATGGTTCAGATGTTCTGAT